GGGGACATTTGGCAACATATGGATACACTTTGGGTTGTCCCACTTTTGAGGAGAGGCATGCTACTGGCATCTAATGGGTAGAGGTCAGGGATATTGCTAAACACCCGACAGAGCACTGGATGGCTCCAACAGAGAGCTACCCAGCCGCAAGTTGGGGCTGAGCAAGTCTGCTCTGATGCGATACAGAGGTTGTAGGTGGAGGTGGCTCGTTCCTCACACCTGTCATCTCAGTGTAGGGTAGAATGGGGAAGGGTCACAGCTAGTCTGCAATCCCTCATTGGTGGCCATATACAAAGAGGGGCGGTGGGGAGGCAAAAGATTTGGGGGTGGGAATGAGCCCAAAGGGAGCCTCGGGTTAACCTCCCAAGGTAGATGGAAGGATAAGGGCAGAGTTGTTCATTTCAAGTCAACTCTTACTTATTTAAAAACCGATTTCCTTAAGCACATAATTACATGTTTATTTCCCCGAGGAACTCTTGAGGCAGAGGAGACCTGCTTAAATTATGGGGATGGAGGCTGCACACAGGGCTTTAATGGGGTTGGAAAAATTTTCTGTCTCCAGTGAAGGAGGCTTGGGAGGAAGGGGAGGGCAGATTCCTCTCCTGCAGTGCAGATATGGGGGGATGGAGCCAGATAGCAATGGAAGGGCAGAAAGCATGAGGACTGGTTGTGTGACCCCAGTGGGTCGGGATCAGAGCAGAGATGTGAACTCTGGGGTGCAGCTTCAAGCCTCCCACCTCTCTGTCCCCATCCTGCTAAGTGGAGGGAAGGGATCCAGGGAACAGGCCATTCACACTCTTCCTGCCCCACTGCTTGCATGTACACACACATACAATCATATTCCCTCCGGTTTGCATCAAGAAACAGAGCAGGTCGTGGGGTTGTGGAAGGAGCAGGTGGGTGGGCAAGGTGGAGGAGATTTTGATGAGAGGTGGCTCCGGGTTTTGGTGCTTCCTCTCTTCAGCCATTTCTCACACCTCTGTGGCAGCCTGAATGCCTGGAATTGTGGGTTCTTCTCTTTAGGAGATGTCTTCACCTGGGTAGGCTGGGTGGGGATCAAGGGAACAGAGGGAAGTAACTGATTACCCAGATCTGACAGAGGAAAAGAGGGGGCATCTTACAGCCATCTGCTCCCAGATTGGCAAGACTCTGGCTAATACACCTGAGGATTGAGTTGGGTAGGTGGCAGTGGAAGGGAGAAGATGGCGATGAGGAGTGGGTAACTTGGGCCTGGTGGTGGTCTAGGCTAAAAAGGATGGGGTCTACAGTAGAACCCACGCCTCCCCACTCTGCCTCTGCTGAATCCGGAATGCACGCCTGTCACGGTACCTATTCCATATGGCTGGACTCCTCCAGGGGGCTGTGAATCATGTCTCATTCAGCTGGACAGCCCCTGCATCTAATAAAGCCTGGTACACTCAGGCATTCAGCACACATTTCATGATGAGTTTCTACCTTATAAAGCCTGGCCTGCCATGGCCGAAGAGAGGACAGGAATTCAGGTAGGAATTATAGCAAAGAGTCCACTTGGCTGGTCTATCCCATTCATCTTCTCTCTCGAAGCCAGAGGTAGGGGGCAGTGCTGGTAGAATGGGATCCAGTGCAGGAGTGAAGGTAACATCTGAGATACCTGGTCAAGATCCGTAGCCCTGAACCTCTTCACTTAATCATCAAATATCCTCCACAAAGCAGCCCAGAGGGGCTCAGTTCTGGGATTCCACAGCCTGAGGTCGTGGGGCAGCATAATGGGCTGGAAGTCACGGGTGAGCTGAGCATCCCCAGGGTGGGGGAGGCACCCAGTCCCTGGGAGATGGAGATGGTGGTTACCAGAGAGCACAGCATTCAGGCCTTTGCTGTCTTGAGATGGCTACAGGGATGCCAAGTGTGGGACACGCGTGAGGGGCTGTGTCCACAGGGGCCCTCCCGACCTGTGAGCATCACAGACTCTGGGCTGCTGGGGATCTGTTTCCTTTTCATTGACCAGCTCCCCAGAAGACACATCAAATATCATCAAAGAGCAGATATATGAGTTCAAGGGGGAGGGTATAGCTCAGTGATAGAGCGTGTGCTTAGCATGCACGAGGTCCTGGGTTCAATCCCCAGTACCTCTGTTAATAAATAAATAAATGTAATAAACTTAATTACCTCCCCCTCTTCCCCCTAAAAAAAGACCTGATGAAATAAAACTAAAAAAAAAAAAAAAAAGAGTTTAAGCATCTTTAAGAGGCTGAAGATGTGTGTTGTAGTCCTGGCCCATACTTCCACTTTCCTGAAGTGATGACCATAGCCATCTCATCCAAAGGACAGGGCTGGCCCTTCTGCCTTTCTATATCATGGGGCTTTTGTGAGGCTCAAATAAGTGGATGTTCGGGAGTGCTTTGTAAACTGTCAAGTGCTATGCAACGTGAGCTGTTTCTTAAAGTTATTTATTCAAAGCAGCAGCAGAGGGACGCCCCCCAGCCCTCAAATCAATGCAGCTCCAGCCATTCCTCCAACCAGGACCTGCCTGCAGGGAAGGGCTGCTTCAGTCTCTTAAGCCAGCTGGGTGCTGGAGGGCTTGGCACTTTCAGTCCACTTTTAGTCTCTGGCCCCATCTAATGCACAGGTCAGGGCAGCGGGGCCCTGGCAGAAGGATGCTGAGGTCCCTTATTTAGTTCGCTGGTAGAACTGGAAGACTGCTTTCTCCTGCTCATAGGTCTCGATGGAGCCAGGTCGAAGGCGCCGTATCTCAGCGATGGCGTCTCCTGCAGCCAGTTTCCGCTCCTTCAGCAGGTAACAAGCCAGCATGGTGCCGGTGCGGCCAAAGCCCAGGAAACAGTGCACCCCCACCGCCTGTGAATGGGGGAGCCAGATGGGGTGGAGCCCGACGCCCGCCCAACACTCTCCTGCTCCTTACTTGGGCTAGTCTCCTGTCTGTAGCTGCTCCTTCTAGGTCAGGACCAGGACTCTGCATACACCTCAGGCTCTCAGGGGCAGGAAGTGACATCCAAGTCACAGAGGGCTATCCTATACTTGGTGGCTTAGGCCACCAATCACCTTCTTCTAAGTGGCTGGTTTCCAGTTCTGGGCTTCTTGTCTGCCTCACACAACCCCCTCTGCTCGCGCTGTCCAGTGCAGAAGACACTGGCCACGTGTGGCTACTGAGTACCTGAAATGCTGCTAGTCCAAATTGATATGTGACGTAAAATGTAACCAGATTTTAAAGACGTAGTACAAAAAAGAATGAACATATCCTGTCAAGAATTAATTTTATATTCATTATATGTTGATAACATTTTGGACTTACTGGGTTAAATTATATTATCAAAATGAATTTCTCCTGCTTTTTTTTTTTTACCTTTTAAAAAATGTGGTTGCTGGAAACTAAAATTATATATGTGGCTCCACTCCATTTGCTCAGAGCTTGTCCTGTAGACTGCTCAATAGCCCCTGAGTTCAACCCCCATCTCTCCCAAGTCTGTCCACCCTTTCTCCTTCTTGACTCATAAAATTAGCTGGTTCTTCCTTCCCTCTCCTGGAGCCCAATTCACACTGCTGGGCCCCTTTTTCACTCCTTCCCCTTACCGCCCCGCTCCGCTCCCCTTCGTTTTAAGTCCTGGTTGCACTCTTCTGGGCCCATGGTCTTCCTCCAATCTCTCCGAATCCAGCTAAGTCATTCCCGGCCCTGAACTCTCCGGCTCCGCCCGTGTCCCCGCTGACCCCTTCCAGGTCCCTCCCCCCAGGCACATATCCAGCCGGCTGACCTCTCCCCGGGCGTTGGCCTCGTCCACTATCTGCACGAAGCGGTCGATCTGGTCGGGGGCCGGCGGGCAGAAGTCTGGGATG